TTTTTTTTTTTTTTTTTTTTTTTTTTTTTTTTTTTGGAGGATTTGTTATCCTCACCTGGGTTGTATTTTCTTCTTATTTCTCTAATAAAATTTCGTTTTCTACCAAAGTATTTAACAATTCAACAAGGCTCTCTGATCCCTTAGTGGCCATAGGCAGAATATCAAATGAAATCTTGCCCTTCAAGAAATCTAAAGATAGGGTAGATGACTTAAAATATCCAAACATTCTTTTCCACTCAAATACACCAATGGGTAGCATGTGTGCACAAAGTCATCCTTTTCTTATTTCTGCTGAAAGCCCAAAAAAAGCTGCTCTTAACTCTGACAAGTGACAACACTGAATTCACCAAAAATAAATAAATCCAAATGATCTTTTTCTGAATGGAAATGGTTGCTGTGCTAGGCTGAATAGGCAAATGTGTCTGATCAAGTGCCAAAGAGTAGGACAATTGTAAACATAATATTTTGGGAATTGGAATTCAACAGAAGTCTTAGCTTAACAGAGCTAATCTTGTTCCTCACCTGCTTAGGACTTTGGTATTCAATAGAAACCATGCATAGGTCATTATGCCTAAAGGTTCCATTTTTGTTTATATTAAATTTCAGTTTCCTTCTGTTGTTTTACTAGTCAAATAATTTGAATGGTTATATGCTGTTATAGATGATATGAAGCACCTGTTTTAACCTACTGTGGTATTTGTACAGGTGTTTTGGTGGAAATGACTCAACTGGACAGGTAATATGGATTTTGCTTTGATGAACATTTAACAATCTCCAAAAAAAATGAAAGAAAATGCTTGTATCCAATGTGTCACCACACACATCTGATTTAGTTGTCTTATATCAAATTTGGTGAATGTGCTAGTCATTTTCACGGACTTCAGACAAAAGTATTCTTTCCTAATGGCATGCCAATAAAGTAGCTATTTTTTGAGCATAAAGATTCTCTTGATGCGGCAAAATACTATTATATATTTTAATATTATTAGTTAATGACAAAAATAAAAGGTTTTGTTAGGTCATTATCGATTGTTTAGATAGAGAGGTCAGGAGTGAACTTATTATAATCATACTAGTAGATATGATATTCTATCTTACTGAATGATTAGGTTTTCCCCTTTCTTTTGCAGAAGCCTTCTGCTTCCAATGTGGAGTTTGCTCTCGTCACCTTTAATACTCATGGATGTTATTCTGGTACAGTTATGCTAATTTTCTTTTTTCATGTTACATGAATCATGGCTGTTTAAAAGCTGTTCATTTAAAAAAATTGGCAAAATTTTAGAACTAATGGTGTTGATGCTATCCTGTGCCAGTTCATTTTTTTTTAATATTTTATTTACACCTCGTTTGCATTTCAAATATTTTTTACCTTTCCTATTAAAGAAAGGAAAAGGAAAAAAGGATAAACAATTTCTAAATATGAAGTTTCTGCAAATTGTGTGTGTATAATGACAAACAGTTTTCTAAATATTAAATTGGTGCATTGTGTGCGTGTGTATGTTTTTCTTAATTGGAAGTTAAACGAGAAAGTTGACAAAGTTTATCTATCCACCATTTATTGAAAATACAACGTTTGGAATTTTCTAATTCAATTCTGCCTGGCTTTACACTGGCGAATTTATATGTAACTGGCTAGTCTATTGAGTATATTTACTTAGTTGAGCATCATTGGATGCAGGTTGGCTTGTGCAACGAACTGGTTGGACTAGAGACCCAGATGTTTTCTTCCTGTGGCTATCATCTATACCCTTCAATGGTGGTGGTTTTAATGATGCAGCAATTGCTGAAGGGCTTTCTGAAGCTCTGATGGTATGCATGCCATCTACATTTCATTTCCTGTTTGCTTGTATTCTTTCAATTTTCATTCAGTATATATCTGATCCTGATCATTCCTGTGTGTTGTTTCCTTTTACTTCTTTACTGTCTCTCTCTCTGCGTCTGCGCACACATTTATGAATTCTTTGCGTCCTTATTCTGTGTTGAATTTGTTTATTTTAATAAAAATAATCTTATGCATTTGATGGAATGTGGGTTAACATTTGGAGGATATAGGACAAGATCTGGATCACAGAGAGAGTTATGGTACTTGAAAATTCCTCCATGTTTAATTATTGGAAGTTCATATAACATCTCAATAGTAATAGTTGACTTTGAGTACATGAAAAACAAGTTTTAACTACAAAATAATTCAATTATTGAGCTAAATTAATGGTGGATCACAGTGATAGTTATATTGCTGTGCAGTTTTGTTGGTGGATGAATGTATTTGAACTAAATTTTAATGAAGCTGATCCAATGAATTAAGCTCAGGATCTAAATTTGTTTGATTGGTTCATTTTGGCTCATTTGTACCAATTTATTTCCTTAATTTGTATAATTTGAGCTAACAAGCTGTGTTGGAATGTTTACAATATCCATTATAGCTGAACCGGATTTATTAATTCTTGGTATGTTTTGTCCTTGTGGCAACAATTGCAGCCCCCGAAGCAGTTGTTCATGGTGTTATAGCATCACTATATTGAGGGGTTTTGAAAACCCTTTTTGGTCCTTGAAACTGTGTCATTCTGGGCATTTTTTTTTTGTGACAACCACCCTTCACTTTTCTCATTGTTCTGAGCCCTGAACTCTTGACACCCTCTGTCCTTTCCTCTGTGTGACGGTGGACAGCTATTGCACAATCTCAAGGACATTTGTTGTTATTTACTATGTTTTACTTTAAACTTATATGACTTTTTATTGTTAATTATAAATTTATCATGAATTTGAGGGTTTTTATTTATTTATTTATTTATCCATTTTGAGCATTTATATGCATATAGTATATATATAATCTATATAAAAAAATATCACAATAGCAGCCATCCCTGCCATGTACTACTTAATGCTGTTGTGTTTTTGGGGTTGGCCACTATGCACTGCTATCCAACACTGATAACTGTGAGTTGAACTAGAGCTGAGTACAGAAAATTTATATGGATGAAAAAATTAAATACAAATAATTTATGATCATCTTGTTAACTTTGTATATCTCAAGGGTCAGTGACTATTTTGTCATAAGAATGTGGTTACTTCTTGTATTAATTGTTCCTATCCCTGTATCTGTGTGTATATGTGTGTGTGTATATGTCTGTATGTATATATATATATATATATATTTCAAATGGTGAATATGTCTTTAGATGTTCTGATCGAGGAAAAGATGACAAAGTATTTATTAAAGTGATTTGGACATGTACAAAAAAGACCATTGGAGGCACCAGTGAGGATGTAGTAGATTGCATGATTTATAGCCTGGTGAAAAGGGGTAGTGGGAGAACTGAAGGACAATATAGGAATTTGTTAAGTGGAACATCATGATAAATAACATTCCTAAGAATTTGGTCTTTAACCAAGCTCAATGGCATTGTTCGATCAATGCAACTGACTTCACCTTATGGATTAAGACTTTTGTTGTTGTTGGTTAAATGCCTTTTTCCCAAAGTAACTATTTGTTTTCTCTTTTTGTGCTGCACTGTTGACAAAGCAACATATAAGTATTATTCATAGTTATCAATCTCGAATAGCAACATGAAGTGACTAACTTTGAAAAGGCTATAGTGGGATAGTAGAAAATGGGGTGATCACTATTTTAAATATTATTACTCAAAATAAATAATTTATAGTAAACATAAAAGACCAAAATTAAAGAAATTCATGTTAAATAATAAGTTGCAGTTTACACACAAAATCACCATCAACCTTGGAGCAATAAGAACATAGTAATGAAGTTAAAAAATTGAAAGATGCTGGTAAAATCAATAGAAAAAGAACATAACAAATTAGATAAAAAAAAGAGTAGAATGTGAGCTGGGAAGTCGAAAGGAAGAAGAATGGAAAGAAGATAAAAAAGTGTCTTGTAAACTTTGAAGGATTAGAGGTCAAAACAAAGATAACTTTTCCTGGAATATTTATCCAGGAAAATGATGTTCCAAGGTTACAAATTTGTTTTTGAAGCCTATATTATGGCAGTGACACTATTTTGGCTGTCATTGTGGCCACTATAACTGCTATTGAATATTGCTCTTCTATCTGAATCCCATAATAGCTTAGGGCCACTCCATTCCGCTATCCTGCCATAGTGTGCTTTTGACTACTATGGTTTTATGTGTAATATTAAAGTCTTTTCTGTTTTTTATCACCTTACTTTCCTTCAGTTAGATGTGTGCTATTTGGCCCCCTCACCTCAAGGCATTAGAACTTAGAAGTCCATAGTCTGACTCTATTTTTACCTCATTTTTTTTTCTCTGTTGAGTATTTCTTATCCTTCAACCTTCTGTTCTTCTATATCTTTCTTTCTCTTAAATTTGTTTTTAATTCAAAATAATGCACAAAGCTCTCCCTAATTCAAACAATGTGTCAAAGCCTTTTCCTGTTAAAGAAGAAAAACTCCCTTATAAACTATAACAAATGTTTATCAGCCTTAATTGGTAGTTCCCTTTAGACTGAAACTTTGCTCTTTGAGGCTACAGTTTTCCTCAATCTGTGCCTTTTTTATTTCTTCATCCAATTATGGATAATCTAGTCTATGCATTGGATCATTTCTTTTAATGCATTTCTTTGTGTCACTTCTCATGTAATTTGTACACTAATAACTGTATCTCCATACACTTAATTTTTGATATTTTATGATAGCTTGAATGCATTTTTGTGAGTGTGAAATCTATAGCAATTTCAACGTGATATGTCTTTAATACAGCACAGTTCGTAATCTATAGTAGGTTTTTCTATAGTAAAGTACATAGTTTAAACTGTTAGTTAGAAAGTGGAAACTTTGTGGGCATCTCTTTGGCCTCAAAAATGAATTTGGATCCTCACACCTCAATGTTGGAATGCTTAGATGTTCCCAAATTCTCAAAGCGGAGGCCCTAATCAGCAGAGTGTGGACATGCATAAGCATTGTATCCTTGTTGCAGCAAGTAATCCCTATCCGTTGCAGACACCAGTTTATGTTCCGCGACAACAGAACCTAGAGCAGACTGAAACCATTGACTCAGACCCAGGGAGCCGGTTATATGATTCTGAAGCTGTAGCTAAAGCATTTCCTCAGGTATTCTTTGTTGATTTATTTTAATGGAACTCTGTCTTTGTTTGCCATGAACTTAGTTCGTGTCTGTTCACTTTGATTAATGGTATGTGATCTTCTGCATGCAGTTTTCTATTTCTCTGTCAGTCATCTGCCCAAAACAACTTCCCAAAATTAAAGCCATCTACAATGCGGTAAGGATGGCATCACTCTTCTACTAAAATGTTAATATGTCTCTATTTGTCTACTTCTAAAATGATGGAAAACTAAATGTGTTGTGCGCATGCTGTCTAAAATTATGGTTTGTTTGATTCAGCATTACAAATTCATCGCTAAATTTAGAGTCGCAAAAAATTTACGCTGTGAAGTTGCAGTGTTTGTAATCATTTTCATTGAAAGTTCTGGATTTTTATTCAGTGAATAAAAGGAGTTAATCTATACTAGAAGAAAGCATTTTCATTTAATAATTTTGACAAGGAAATGATTGCTGCTGAAAAAATTTATGATCACTTATATGCTGGATGTTTTCAGCACCTTTTTAGTTTTTACTTAAATTCCATCTTTGTTGGTTCCAAAGAAACATGACATTGGCAGACACTGGATGTGGCATTAACATGAATACCAACATTATGACACTATAAATATTATAATATATTTTGTAAATATTCTTAGAGACTAAATAAGTTTTTTCTTCTATTCAGTTTTTTCATAATATTCATCATATTCCTTTGGTATTGTAGGG